GCAGCTGTAGCTATTCTTAGAAGGCGAGGGAGGCACTGGTAGAGTGAATATCTGAAGGACTGTCCTGACGGCAGAGGAGCCAGGGGCTCTCTTAGGACTATTGGAGATGAGGCTACAGGGAGGGGAGGACTTAACAGGCCGATCTGGTTGAGCTCCACGCACAGGACGCATGTGAAGAGATGCGGCACGTCTCTGGAGGGGGGTCTTCCCCTAACTGGGGGGTTGCCATGGATGCCTGTGTGGCCCTTGCCTGCCTGGAGGGAGGGACTCTCTCCAGAGCCCAGGCCCCTCCCTGAGGGAGGAGGCTGCCCGGAGCTCATGGCCACCCTTTCTTTCATCTCCATCTCTGCAGGTGCTTGGCCCCAAGCCGGCACTGCCCGAGGGTACCGAGGACACAGTCAAGGAGGACGCAGCCAACCGCAAGCTGGCCAAGCTCTACAAGGTGAGCCTCGGCTGCTGTCCCCTGGGGTCAGGACAAGGAGGCAGGGGATCTGGTCTTCCCGAGCTCAACTATCTTGAGCAGAAGCACACCTGGGGGGGTGCAGTGAGAGGCTCAGTATCCGCATGTCTCCAGTGGGCACCCGTCTGCTTCCTTTGCCTCCTGCACCAAGAATAAGAGAAAGCCATCGACTGCAGACATACCTGTGTCATGTTCATCTGTGGGGTCTTGGCAGCACATGTCCTCTCTCTGGGGCTCAGTTTCAAAGTCTGTAAAGTGGGGAGAAGGGCAGTAAGGTCCACTTTGTAGGATTTCTGGGAGTCCACAGAGAAAACTGATGGTAAAGTGTTTTAGGAAAATACTTGGGGAAATATGACAGAAATGGGCGTGTGTGTGTAGGGGGGTGGGTTATGGTTGATGACTTTATTTATAATTTTTTTCTTGTGATTTTAAAAACTGAATTGAAGCTGCTCTTGAGCTAAGGCACGCTGGTCTCGTGGCTGAGCTCTGGAAGAAAGACCCGCCTCACCGTGGCACTCATGTTGTGCCCTGGGCTTATCTGTGGTAAAAGGACAAAACGGGGTACAGATTCTCATCTTGTAAACGAAAAACCACATTGGTGATTTTTATTCTGATAGAACAATACATGCTCACTGTAAAAATAAAATAGCGAGCAATACTCAAGAACATAAAAAGAAAATAGAAGTCAATGCAATTTCACTGGCTTAAGATAACCGGTACTAGTTTTTAAATGTCTTAATTATAAAAGTAGCAATACTCAATTAAAAAAATAAAAAACCAACCTCTCCTCCTCTCCGCTCCATGGGTTATCGTGGTTACGTGATTACCATTTTGGTGAAAGAATATCCACATTACATCTTTCTGTGTCTAATTATATACTTTTTCATCTCTATTCCATATAAATGGATCCAAACTATTTATGCTGTTCTGTGGCCCTTTTCCCACTCAACACAGTTCAGGAATATCTTTCTTTCTTTCTTTTTTTTTTTCAGGAATATCTTTCTATACTAGAGGTCCACCTGGCCCTTTATAACAACTATATCGTATTCTATTTTACGAACATAAGAATTTTGGCAGGCCCCTTGTTGATGGACATCAGAGAATGTTTCCGAAACCTTTTCTGGTTGCAAAGAGTTTCTCTGCACTTGTGCTATGTGTGGCCTTAGAACAAGTTCCCAGACACGGGATGCTGGGTTGCAGGCTCAACAGTGAGTCAGTATTGAAAATACTGGTTCTGGAATCAGACGGCCTGGGTTCGAATCCCAGGACTGGTACTTTCTAGGTGTGCAGGTTACTTAACCTCTCTGCGTCTTGGTTTCCGTGTGAATAAAATGGGGATAGTAGTGGAACTATCATAGGGTTGTTGCAAGGATTAAAGGAGTTCTATAATTATGTAAGTTATTGGTGATATAAATTGCTTAGAACAGNAAGGCTCTGTGAACACCTTGGCAACCCTGCTGGGCCCAACGGGATCCTCTTGAAAGGCCTCATGGTTTTACCAAGAAAGGCCACAAGGGGGCGCTCCACTCACAACAGGAACACCATTACTTGCAGTGGTGTTCAGGTAACAAACAGTTGTTTGTTCCTGCCTCCCATCCTGAGTGACTCTAGTGACCTTTGCTCTAAGAAAGCCTGATATTGGGGGAGGAACCTAGAGATTCAGTCACACCTGGGTTTGAATCTGAGCTCTAGCACTGACTAGCTGTGAGATCTCAGGCAAGCCCCTTCACTTTCGGGCTTCCCTTTCCTCATCTGTAAGATGGGATAATGACACCTGCCACATAACATGATGCAAAACGCCCCACAAGGTGGACGTTATCCTTTCACAAACATTTCCATATTGCTTACTGTGTGTTGACATATAGGAGCCCAGTTAAAACTCGCTCCCTTTGTCCCCTTGCCCTCATGGAGTCTGTGTGGCAAGAGTCAGACTTGGCCTCGCTCCGCAAATGAGGCAGCAAAGAGGGACCTGGATGGGGTGGCCGCATTTCTGGCCTTAGTGGAAGCCCTTTTTCCTTCACCCCCATGGAGCCCTTTCCTTGCAGAATGTCTTGGGGATTAGGGTTTCTTAGGGAATGCTGGTTTTGAGAAAGGAATGATTGCAGCTTTTGATCCAGGAAAGTGGCCCTTGAGGTCCTCGTCAGTGGAGTAGGAGCTTCAAAGGGGTGGCGACAAAGCACAGTGGTACGGAAGCTGCTGGAAGCCCACTGGTTCACGGGCCAGAATTTCCTTCAACTCGACCCTACTCTTTTCCCCCGTATCTGCTTCTTTGGACCCTCTCCCCCAGACTGACGCTGTCTCCTTGACCCAACAGAAAGGAGGCGTGGCATCCGGATTCAAGCATGTGGTACCCAATGAGGTGTCGGTACAGAGACTCTTCCAGGTCAAAGGGCGGCGTGTGGTCCGTGCCACCGAAGTACCCATGTCCTGGGAGAGCTTCAACAATGGCGACTGCTTCATCCTGGACCTGGGCAATGTGAGTCCTGCACTGCTTTTTTTTAGGGGCCACTGAGGTGCTTTTGGCCTGGCCAGGCCTGACTCTGGGAGGTAGAAGCACCCATGTTAACACATGCAAAGACACGGACAGGGCAAGCCACAGCGACAGCAGCCCCTGTGCACACACATACTCTATGCATGAGTCAGACACACCTGCAAAGACTCAGGTACAGACGTGCCCGGCATGCATAGGCTCCCACACGTGTAGACTCCGCCCATCATATACATGCCAACAGAACTTGGGCACAGTGTACTCGGACTTTGATTGACATATGGACTCCCTGACATATTGTGTTCATATA